ACGTTTGGCCTCACGACGCTGCTGCTCGGTGGCGCTTTCTCCAAGGAGTGCGTAATCAAAGACGTCGGGAGGAGGCTGCCATGGGCACCCGGCTGGTCGTTCAAGCTCAAGGATTGCACCGTGCTCTCCCTGAGCGACGCTGGCCTTGGTGACTCCGGAGTCAAGGTGCTTGCTGCATCACTGGCAGCTGGCGGTGGCGCCCCGAACGTCGTAGAGGTGAACCTCTCCAACAACGGAATTGGCGACGAGGTGTGTGCCAATGGTCACGGCCACTCACGGCCACTAGATCGGCTCAGCAATCTCCGACACCGTGCCTCAGCGGGACAGGGCGGGGCTCTCCTAATCGGGCTTCCGCTGTGTCTTAGATAGGCTGGCGGTCCAGCGGGGTTTTTCTTCTTTCTGGCGGCATGAGCGGCGCAGCGAGCCCAACTCTGCTGCCCGATCTGGCAGTGGGCAACCTGGGCTCGCTGCGCGCCCTCCTCTCCGGGCGGCGGACGCGCGGGAGGCTCGACGCGCGGCTCGACACCGACACGCAGGACACGCTGCTCACCTGGGCCGCTTGCCACGGGCAAGCCGAGGCGGTGCGGCTGCTGCTCGAGGCCGGCGCGAGCGTCGGGGCGGCGGACGGCGAAGCCGCCTCCGCTCTCCTCCTTGCGTGCGAGAAGGGCCACCTCGAGTGCGCCCGGCTGCTCCTTGACCGCCTTGGCCGGGCCGAGCCGGCGTCGACGATGTTGACGAAGTGCGCTCTTGCGGCCGCGCACCCGCTGACCCACTGTCGCCGCCGGCCGCTGATCTACTGGCCGAGGGCAACGCCGCATCTGATACCGTCACGCTGGTGCGCTCACGGGGAAGGTGGCCGACTGCAGCCAGCGGCAACGGCCCGGCGACACCCAAATCGGCAATGTGGTCGACGGCAAAGCTAAGCAGTGCGCACTGGGCGTTCCCGCCGTCAGTTCTTCGCAGCCGGTCGAGCAGGGCCTGCACGCCGTGCGCCTCGAGCGCGGCGTTGGTGAGCGCCTGCTGGGTGATGCGAGTGCGAAGCTCTTCCAAGCGACGGGCGTCCGTCCGGACGCCCGTAAGCTCGAAAAGCTGTGCCCAATCGCCGTCAACGACCAGCTGTGGGTGCCTGAGCACCTTTCTTGCGTCCGCATCGGTGCCAAGTGTGGAAAATGCCGCTGCGTCGGTGGCTGCCGCTCTGCGAAGCCGCAGATACTCAAAGTCGACGCCACGCGTCGTGCACGGGGCAATCGACGTATCTGTCCGCTTCCAACCTCTAATGACCGCAGGCAATTGCTCCTCACTCAGCCAGCCGTTGCAAACGTCGGCTAGCATATCGAAGAGCCAGGGTTCGTACATCCCGATATCTTTCATACGACCTGCCTTGACCGCAGCGTCGATGGTCCATACAAACTCCCACAGCATAGACCGGATGTGTGTCGTTCGCGGCCCGGCTGCCTTTTGGGTCGGGTGGACAGATCGCGAGTAGTGCAAGAAAGAAGCCTCAAGTGGTGAGGTATTGCGCAGCGAACGGTAAATGACTCGACCTGTTCGGGGATGAGACCCAATCTCACGGTACATTGCCATCTTGGGCGGGTCCGACAGGTACCCTTCCTGGACATATGCAAGCTCCTTGAGAGCAATGGCGTGGGCATTCTGAATGAAGAATCCATGCGAAGGCTTGAGTGGATCTTTGAAGTCTTTGAAGAAGAGGTAGACATCATACAGCCTCCTGATCAACGTGCGGGGATCAGGGCACTGCACTCGGCACTTGTGACGCCAGTACGAGCGCCGTAAACGCTTGATTTGGTCATCCGACATTTTCAACTTCTTTAGGTGACGAACGACGTCGTCATACTCGCCTTTCAACTTGACGAAAAGTGCATCCGACGTCATTATCATGAATAGATTATACGCGGGCGACCCCTTTTGCGCGCCAACCATTGACACCCAGTTGCCCATCCAATGTCTGTGGTCATACTTGAGCTTTGACCGTGGCCCGGTTGCCCAGTCGTCAGACACGCCCTGCAACAGCTGCTCCAGCTCGGCCTTGGACGCCTCGTCCGTGCCAACCGTGGGTACGGGCAGCTGTCGGGAGCCCGCGCGTGAATCTCCCGCGGCGCGACGGCTGAGCCGCATATTGAGGGTTGCCAAGTCGACGCTCTCGTGCGAGCCGTCGTCGTACACGAGAGACCATGAAGCAGCTGATCCGTCGTAGGCCTGCACGCGCCCGCGTGTGCACGACGGCGGGTTAGCAGCTGTGTCCTTGGCCACGAGCGATCCCACCACGTCGAGCGCGAGCGCCGCTGTGATTGGCGCAAGCGGTTTCCAGCGGGACACGACGAGGTGGCGGTCGGACAGAGGGCCGACGGATCGATGGTTGATGTCGTATTGATCGCAGTGTCGATGGAGCTGCTTACGCTGCTCGCTGCTGAGGGCGGACGTAAGAACTAGGTCGCAATCGGTGGTGGAGCTCACATAAGCGTCGACTTGCTGCTTCGCAGAGTCGAATAAGCGTTGGTTCAGTGCGGAAGCCTTTTGAAGGTTTGCGTCGCGCTCGGCTTCGTCGTCGTCGTCACCTTCATCGTCGCTGACCGCTGGCGCCTGCTCCGCGCCACTGTTGGCTTGGAGGGGCGCAATGGGGTCGTTGACAACGGCTCCTCCAACCAGATCATTGATCACGCGGGACGAGCGGCGGTGCCGCGACACCGCGACTCTTGGCTCAGCGATATCTCGGGACGAGCCCGGGCCGGCGTTGCCAGTGCCGATGTCCCCCTCGCGGGCGGTGCCAGGGGCGCCGGTGCAGGCGCCCTCGTGGGAAGGGCCGCGGTCGCCGTGGGCGCGGGGCTGCAACAAAAAATGGCGGTGCAGCAGCATGACCGCATACGGGTCGGTAGCGGCGTACGCCACGTGCTCCGGCAAAAGCTCTGGGGTGTTCCAGAACAAGTGGTCGACGCGCTTATCCAGCCATTTCCCCAGGCAGTGGGCGACCAGAGCGTCGAGCGCTTTGCTCGGCAATGACACCGCGCCAGCCGAATCAAGCAAGTTCTCGCTGGTGCGAATCTCCAGGGTGGAGAAGCGAGCTTGCAGCCGGCTCACATCGGCTCCGGCAAAGTGAGCGATTTTTGCAACTCTGGGATCCCCAAGCAGCCGCGCGAACGACGCAAAGCACGTCGGCCACAAGCAAACGCGGAATAGATAGCACGCGTCGGCACCCGCCAAAATCTGCACCAAGTCGGCCTTGGCCCTCCACCTGGCCGCATCGCATTCTCAGTGTCCCAATACACGCGAGGCTGACCACGCCGCCCGGCGGCGCTGGCGGCCTGTTGCCGCAGGGAGGCACACGCGGCGTCGCACTCGCTCTCGGTAACGACTTGGACGACCGACCCGCCGAATAGGAGTTGCTCTTTGCCGCCTCCAGGATAGTTGTTTTCGAGCAAACCCGGCCCGTCTTTGTGCGGATTGTCCACCACGTTATGGTAGGGCGGCTCATGCCCGTGCACCCTGGCCGCCTCTCTGTAGCCATTGTGCGCTCGAACTGTGATTGGATCGCGCATGGAGGTCGTCTCGACAAAGACAGATATGGGGATACCGCCCCAGGAGTTCATACATCGGTAGACCCAAGTTAAGAAGCGCTCGCCGTCAAGCCGCTGTCGCCTGTCGGGACGCGTACTTGCCGTGATGGTCAGCGAGGCATATGTCCATCGGACAGTGCTGCTCGAACCATTGCTTGATGTACCGCTCAACACGGCCATAGAACCACTCCTGAATGATGTGGGTGATGTACGTGTCGCTCACCTGTGTGGGGGATCGCCCGAGATCAACCGAGAATCACACCGAGTCACTCCGAGATCAACCCACCCGCCCCGGCCCGCCCCGGCCCGCCCCGGCCCGCCCCGGCCCGACCCGCCCCGGCCAGACCCGCCCCGGCACGCCCCGGCCCGACCCGCCCCGGCCCGCCCCGACCCGACCCGACCCGACCCGCCCCGACCCCGACCCACCGACGGACCCGTGACCGAACTGTCAGCTACGCGCCTGCGATATCCCTGGGGGCAGGTGCTTGACCGACCATGCGTCACGCTGCGCCGCCAATCCATGGTTGGCGCACGCGTGTTGAAACGAGTAGAATGTAAGCTGCTGCACCGACGCCCTCAGCGACCGGAACTCTTTGAGCATCGATTCCAGGTGGTGCGCTCCCTGGGCGGTGCGCTGGCCTCGGACAATGACCCAAAGCAAGTCGCGTGTGATTGCTGCCCTCGCAGTGAGGAAGACTGGCAGTTGCTGAGCGACCCAAATCGTGCTTTTGCGCTCCGCGTAATAGCTCACCACGCGCGAGTCATAAGTCATGAAATTGAACGAGGCGGCCTTCCTCCGAGCTGAAAGGTTGTCGACGATGGAAGGCGCGGCGCCCGCCTGTCGCGCCCGCTTGAGCTCATCACGCAGCTGTCGATTCTCCGCAGCGCACGTACTGCAGCGGCACAGCTGTCCGCCAAGCAGGTGGTCCTCAAAAGTGCCCTTCACTAGACGCGGAAACCATCGAGAATACACCTTGACGCTGCTTGCGTGCTCCCAACCGTGGCGTGCGCACGGCGTACACACGCCTTTAGATTGAAACTTGAGCTGGGGCGAATAAAATAGGCAGGGCAGGGCGGCAAAGTCGTGGACGCAAAAGTCACTCGTGCACGTGCCGTCGGGCGGATGAGCCCACAATGAGTCCCATTTCTCATACGGGTTGAGCGCCATGTTGTCCACCACTTTTGTGAACCACAAGCGAGCAGGCCCGGGGATCGAGTTTATAGGCGCGAACGCCGGGTCAAGCTCGCCCGTCGCAGCCGCGTCCTCGCCCTCGCCCTCGTCCTCGTCGTCGCCCGCCCTCCCCGCCGATCCCCCTGCGGCCCGCGCGCGACAGCTCGTCAGTGATTCCGGGGCGGCCGGGCATATTCTTTCGGAAGGATAGAGGAGGCGAGTCTCTTAGAGCATGGGCGAGGTGTGGAGGCGCGGGGGTTGGGCCCGAAGTCAAACCGATAAACAGCGGGCGCACCGCGCGGCGCATCGACAGGTTTGCTGAAGGAGGCGGGGTGTCTTTCAACCCACTCCAACAGCGTCCGCTGCCGAGCGCTTGAAAGCTCAGGCAACTGCGCTTGCGACCGCACGTCCCGGTAATGGGCATCCGCCCAAGCGTAGGCGTCTCGCTTCGCGGGGCCGGAGAGGTCGTCGTCGTGCGGACCAAAGAGCATGTCCCAGTCGGCGCGGCTCGGGACCTTCCCCAGCGCCAGGTCCGGGATCGCAACAGTGTTGATAAACGAGAGGCGCGCAGTGTCGACCTTCCTGTACCGGCCCGACCTGTCGGCGCCGCCGGCACTTCTCCGCCGCATCTCCTGCTTCAGCCCTTCGAGATGGGCCAGCCTGTCGAGCAGCTCTTCGGCTGTGGGGAGCCCCAGCGACGAGGAGCTCATACCTGCCGCACGCCTGCCGCACGCTCTAACGTGCAGAGCACCGAATAGACGCCTTGCCCAAAATAGGCTGTAAAATGGAACCCAAAAGAGGGAAGGGAGACGGCGAGCGATCGATTTGTTTTGTCTCTGCGCCGTGCACCGGCCCGCGCGCGCGCGCGCCTCCGACCCGCACCGGTCCGGTTACCGAGCGGTGCCGGTGTACAATGCACGCGGCAGCGGTGATAGGAGCGCTGGCTGCCGCGCATATCAGCGGCTTGCAGCAACCCTTCCGTGGATCACCACCCCGTGCGATCTCGAGGCGGCCACGTGCCAGCGTGCGGGCATCTAAGGCTCTCCCGGGGCCATTCGAGCTGCCAGGGTTGGGTGCGCCCGACTTCCTCTTCCGTTATTCGATGGGTGGCGAGCCCCTCGGGAGTGTGCTGCTCGACTACCGCGAGCAGTTCGGTGACATCTTCACCATCAAGACCGGCCCCATACGGCAGGTTTGGGTGGTCAGTGAGGCGATGGTGGATGAGATGTACTCATTGCCTGCCTGCTCGGGCCGATCCCAGCTGCCCGCCGGAAAGACCCCGTTTGGCGATAAGTTCCTCTTCTTGAAGCGCGACCCCGTGGCCGCTCAGCCTATTCGAAAGGAACAGCAGAGGTGGCTCTCTGAAAATGCTGGCGGCAAGGATGTTCGCGCTGCAGTGGCTTCAATGGAGCCTGAGCTATTCGCCGCCATCGAGGCTGCAGTGGCCGCAGGAGCTTCCGAGGGAGCAAATGGCGCAGTGTGGCCTGCCGGACCGGTGGGTGCTTGCATGCTGGGTGCACTGCTCGGCGTCTTTGGCGGAACCAATCTTGATGGCTCTCTCTCGCTTGCGGAGCGCTCCGAGCTCCTCTCGTCGCTTGCGGGTTACCGCAAGCGGGCAAATGCCCCACCCAACCCGTTCGCCACGAAGCTTGACTATGCGCAGCGTGTGCGCGAGCTCTTGCTCGACGCGCTCCGTCGCACGGGGCGAAGCGACGCTGAGTGTGAAGAGGTCCTCCCGTTGCTTGTCTCCGCCTGCGTTGGTGGTGGCGAGATCTTCCCCCTTCTGATGCAATGGACCGTCCGGCGGTTGGCCCTCGATCCCGCTGCCCAGGCTGAGATCCGCTCCGAACTCGAGAGCTCCTCGAAGCCGTACGGCTCGAGCCTGCCACGGATGCTTGCAGCTGTGATGCGCCAGTGTCCCTATTCCCTCGCAATCGGCCCCCCGCGAAAGGCTCTCGCAGACTTCGAGTACCGTGGCATGACCGTTCCCGAGGGCTCTCTGGTTTTTGCCATGCACCCTGGCGTGCCTCGGTCTGGGCCCCTGCCATCCTTGTCCAAGGCTGCGAGGGATGCGCAGGGGGAGAGTCGCGCGCTGCGCATGTTCGGGGTGGGCTCCCGCGGATGCACCGCCGCGGAGACATCCCTTGCCTTCCTCTGCTCCGCGCTCGCTGCCATCTTCCGCAGATACGAGGTGACCGTCACGGACGCCGTGGACGAGGAGGAGCTGCTCCGCTATCGATCGGACGGCAGCTTGCTTGTGCCGGATGTGGACGTCCGCCTCATGTTTACGTGCGTGTGAATTCCGTCGGCGTATCGCGTCCGCACCGTGCGGCAAGACTCGCTTGTGCGGGAAGTGGACGTCTGCCCCGCGCGATGCATCTCTACCCACCGTGCGCACCTCCCCAAAAGAAAGAAATAAAAATCAGAGAAACACAAGAACACACAACCCAAGCGCCAAGGACGAAGGGAGCCGCTTTGCGCTTTACCGCCCGGCCAAATAGCCCAAAGGGACGCTCGCGGGGCGGATGGGAGGACGGCACACCACCACCACACAGGGATACCCACAAGAAAGAAAGAAAACATACAAGCCAAGGGAGGGATGGGAGGACGGCACGCCGCCACCACACAGGGATTTTAACCCTTTTGCTTCATAAGGGTCTTGGAGACCCAATCTCGATATATCTCCAGTCGTAGCGGTGGAACTTTTTTTTGGCTCGGTCAATTATTTAGCCATATATGAGAGGATCACGGCACAGTGTCGTTTGATTCGACAGTAAATCTCCCACAGCCCACGTAAATCCGTCTTTTCAGGCACCCGGAGCCCGCCGCGGCCGCTTCTACGCCGGCGAATCACCATCAAGCTGCTATACGGCCCCGGCATCGCCTCCCCGGGCTTAGCTCTCAGTCAAGATATTGTGCACATGAGTGGCCTCTACAATATACTCACTGACACTGAACCTCCCAGAGCTCGTCCCGGTCCGTCACGGCCATCCTCGTCCTCCGGCGGGCCCCCGGCCGCGGCGCGGTGCGGCGGCGTCACAAATCCGACCACAGAGCACCGGGACGCGGTCGGGCGATCTGAGGCCCAAGTAGGCGAATGCATTGCCCATCCTGGGCTATCACCTGGACCTATCAACAGGCGCCTGCGGCGCCGTGCTCGGGAGTTGGTTTTCACTCGCTCGAAATGTGTGCCTGAAAGGGTTAAGGAGACCCACCGCTACCCGGGGACCCGGAACACGCCGCCCGCGCGCCGCCAGCATGCCCCGTGCAGCCGCCACCGCCGGATTGTTGGTTTCTTTGTCGTGGGCGGCGGCTGTCACCATCCCTGCAGCCAAGTGCGCCCTGCGTTCCGCGCTTGCAGACAACGGCGGCAACTCCAAGGCCCCTGCCGTTGTCGCTGCAGTTGATGCGCTGTCCTCTCTTTGTCCGTTCGAAGCACCGACACGCGAGTCGGCCCTACTCGGCAAATGGCAGCAAATCAACGCACCAGAGTATTCGGGCGGGACTCGGGATGCGAGCGGCGCGTTCCAGTACACGCTCGGCCGTCTCTCGTTTGGCATTTTCCAACCCAAAGATCTCATGTGCACCTTGGGGCCAATCCTCAATCCGCTCAAAGAGAGTGCGGTTGGTGGCGTGATCGAGTACGAGATAGAGATCCCATTTTCAATCGGGCGGGACAATGGCCCGAGTTTGTCGGCCGAGATCATCAACTTTGCGACCTGCGCCGTTGAAACGGACACGCGCCTGTCCGTGTCCTTCTCGGGTGGCGTCATGCGGCCCGCCGAGGGTTGTGACCGGCCAGCGTGGCGAGAGGTCTTTGGCCCCGCGCTCGTGGCCAAGCCAGGCAAGCGCGTTCGCGTGATGAACTGGTTGCTGAGGCGTCTGATGGGCCTGATCAAGCCTTCGCAGCTTGGCGACGACGACGCGATGAGCTACCAGATGACTAAAGCTCCAAAGGGACACCTCGATGTGCTCTATCTTGACGACGAGCTGCGGATTACTCGCGGCAATCGGGGTTCGCTGGTCATTTGTGAGCGCCTCTGAGTGAGTGACACGCGCGCGCGGGCGCGCCCTCCCTGTCCGCCCCCGGATGCGACACCTGTGCCGTGCGTGTAATAGCGGCCGCTAGCGGGCCTGGGCTGGTTAGTAGGTGTGGTCTTAGTTAGTTACCGGTACACCTATGCGTCGTGACCTCGTGTATCATGTTACCCTCGGTCCGAAAATCTATATCCTATATGCGTTACCGCCATGCGTGTGGGGTGTGGCGAGCCGGAGAGGAGAGACAGAGAGCACACAAGCTCTAGAGCTCTACGACCCACTTGGAGTGATACGACGACACTATGGAGAGATACGTGGTACGACACGCTACTTGGATTGGCCCTGTCATGCCATTTCTTTCTAGAATTTCCTTTCCGGCTTTCGGAAATTTGAGCCGGGTCTGGAGAGGTGAGAGTTTTGTTGTTGAGAGGTGTGGGAACTGGGGAATTTCTGGAAATTTGGGGGTCTGGAGAGGTGTGGAAACGGCAAATTCTGGAAATTTGGCCCTCAAAACGCCTGATTCTTCGCACGGAAGTACTTGCCCTACTCTCGTGTGCTGTGAACAGACGCTGTGCGTTTATGTGAACAGACGCACTGAAGCCGGCGGGTTACCGGCGCTCGAGTTTGCTGCTGGTCCGTGCCGCCGCCGTCGCCGGCGGCGATGCCGTTTACGATAGGCTCGATCCTGCGTCTCGGCGCGCAAGACGAGTATACTCTCGCGACAGCCGCCGAGGACCCCGAGACGCTTCACATCGGTGAAACTGCTCCTGCGCTTCCGACGCGAGAGGAGCAGCTCCAACAAGAGCGTGACGCCGTCCTTGAGGCGATGGAGAGCTACAGGCGCGACACTGATCTGCTTATTGATGCGGCGAAGCAGCGCTCGGACGATCTCGCAGAGCAACTTAACGGTGTTGTGAAGCGGCAGACGTGGACCGACGGCGTGGACCAGTACCTGGAGGCGAGGAAGCAGCAGCATCCCGATTCCTACCCTGGGTCGGAGCGCGCAAAGTTGTTTGCGACCGGACGGCTCGGAAAGCTCCACGTCGGGAGCGAGTGCCGGTTCATCGAGGGGATGGAGCTCAAGCGCCATCCAAGCTACCCGGCGATAGCGGGGACGTACGTCTTCATCCACAACGCCTTCCGCAACCATTTGGACATCATTATTGCCATGCAACGCGATGGCAATCTTCCCGCGGCGCTCAAAGGCCTGACGAAATGGATGGATATCCTCTCGATGCACGTGCGCGTGGAGGACGATCTCTTCATGCCAGCACTCGAGTCGCGCGGCTTCAAGGTGCCCGACTGCATCCATGAAGGGCACGCGCGGCTCGAGGAGGCGGCGCATGCGGCGATTAGCGCGCTGCGTGAGGGCGGCGGCGGCCCGGAGCTGGCAAGGGCGCGCAAGGCGTTATTTCAGCACCTCGAAGAGGAAGAACTCATCATTCTGCCGGCTATGGTCGAGCACTTTTCGTACAATGAGCTCTGGGCGCTCGACTCCCTCATCGTCAACCCGAGCCTTGGCTACTGCTCGCGTGAGCAGTTGCTTGCCATTGTGTTCTGGTGGATCGGCCACATCTCAATCGGCGAGGCGCGGCCCCTGTTCCGGAACTTTGGGCTGGCGAAAAAGCTGGGAAAGATGACGCGAGAGGAGTGGACTGCTTTCGCCGCGCTCATGCCCAAGCTGGCTCGCTACCCGATCGAGACGATCATCGGAGACAAGCTGCGTGCAGACGACGGGGGGCATGCGCGTGAAACCACGTTGGCCTTTCACGAGTGCAGCTTCACACTGAAGAAGACGGGCGAGTCGCTGCTCCGGGGCGTGTCGGGCGCGGTGCGCACGGGGCAGGTGCTCGCGGTGTTGGGCCCGTCCGGCTCGGGCAAGACGACGCTGCTCAAGCTGCTCGCGCTGAAGGCGATGCCAGCGGGCGTGTCGCGCGGCCTCGTGACGCTGGACGGCCAGCGGCTGAGCGCGGAAGGCTTTGCGCGCCAGTGCGCGTCGGTGGAGCAGACGGACAGCCTGTGGACCTACCTGAGCTGCCGCGAGCAGCTGCAGTACGCCATCGACCTCTGCGAGCCCAACCTCGATCGGACGGAGCGGTGGGTGGCAACCAACCGGCTGCTGCTCGCGCTTGGCCTCGAGTCCTGCCAGGACACGAGGGTGGGGAACGCCCTGATAAAGGGGCTGTCTGGCGGCCAGAAGCGGCGTCTGTCGATCGGCCTGGCGCTGGCAAAGAAGCCGGCGGTGCTGCTCTGCGACGAACCGACGTCTGGGTTGGACGCTGCGAGTGCCGCGGCCGTGATGCGGCTGCTCAAGGAGGCAAGCGAGCGGCTGGGCACTGCGGTGGTGTGCACTCTTCACCAGCCGTCGCCGTCGGTGTTTGCGCGGCTGGACCTTGCGCTCGTCCTCTCGGGCGGCCGTCCGGCGTACTACGGAGCGGCTTGCGAGCTGTCTTCCTTCTTGTCGTCGGTGGGTCGTCCGGTGCCGCAGCATACGAACGTGGCCGATTTCATGCTCGATGCGGTCAACGCCGACTTTGCTAGCCGCGAAGAGGTCGACGCGCTACTAGCTGCGTGGCAAGTCCGCCAAGCTCAGGCCACCCCCTCGCGCAGCGCGGCGCCATCTAGCGACGCTCCCTCGCTGCCTGTCGCGCTGAAGAGCCACAGCCTCTTCAGCCAATTGAGGATCCTCATGAGACGTCATCTGTGGCTCCTGCTGCGTGATCCCACGCTGTACCTCTTCCGCATTGTGTGCCTGAGCTCATTCGCCATCTTCCTTGGCATTCTGTTTGTGCGTTCGCGCGATGAGACGCAGGACAAGGTGGAGCAACGCGCCTTCTTTGCGAGCTTCGCCTTCCTGTCCACCACCATGTTCACCGTTGTCGTGGTCTATGCCCTCAATGTTGAGCTCGCCACCGTGCGGTTCGAGGTACGCGAGGGCTTCTACTCGTACCTGTCATACAGCCTCGCAGTCACCTGGCACCAGATCCCGATGATGTTCCTCTCCGCCCTTTTCGTCGTGCTGCCCGTGTGGATCATTGGCAACCTTCCGTGGGAGGGCTTTGCTCTCGGCTGGCTCATTCTCTCCATGACGCTCATCACGTACGAGTCGTGCGCGCAGCTGCTCTCCCTCATCGCTTCGCCCCTCCTCGGCATCGTTGCCTTCATCAACTTTTGGTTTCTCGACTTTGTCTTCTGCGGAATGTTCCTCGCACACGACGCGATCATCTGGCCTTTCCGCCTCCTCTCATGGGCTCTTCCGAGTGTGTGGGGGCTGCGGTCGTTCATCTGGGCCGTCTTCATAGACTCGCCCGCCTTTGGTGGCGCCATCGAGTGTGGCGGTACCCCCTCCGACAACAGCACGACGGTATGTGCCAACGCCACCTCTGCTGGCTTCGTTTGCACCGAGGCGGCGGACCTCAACTGCTTTGGCGTCACCGGCGAGCAAGTTCTCGACTCCCTCGGTGCACGATGGGTGTCATTCACCTCGGATGAGACATGGCCTACCGACTTGGCCATCCTGTGGGGTATGGCGGCGGTGTACAAGTTGTGCCACACATGTGGCCTCATCATGCTTGGCAGGAGGGCTTCACGTGCGCGCTCCCCGCTCAGCGACCAGGAGCACGTTGCCGTGCCTATGGGTGAGACCGCGACTGCCGCGGCCGGCGCAACCGCCCAGCCCCGGGATCAGATCACCGCGTTTGTCGGTGACTTTGACGTGCCGCTCCGGAGCGTCGAATTTCGATTCACTCACTGCAGCTTCACGCTGAAGAAGACGGGCGAGTCGCTGCTCCGGGGCGTGTCGGGCGCGGTGCGCACGGGGCAGGTGCTCGCGGTGCTGGGCCCGTCCGGCTCGGGCAAGACGACGCTGCTCAAGCTGCTCGCGCTGGAGACGATGCCAGCGGGCGTGTCGCGCGGCCTCGTGACGCTGGACGGCCAGCGGCTGAGCGCGGAAGGCTTTGCGCGCCAGTGCGCGTCGGTGGAGCAGACGGACAGCCTGTGGACCTACCTGAGCTGCCGCGAGCAGCTGCAGTACGCCATCGACCTCTGCGAGCCCAACCTCGATCGGACGGAGCGGTGGGTGGCAACCAACCGGCTGCTGCTCGCGCTTGGCCTCGAGTCCTGCCAGGACACGAGGGTGGGGAACGCCCTGATAAAGGGGCTGTCTGGCGGCCAGAAGCGGCGTCTGTCGATCGGCCTGGCGCTGGCAAAGAAGCCGGCGGTGCTGCTCTGCGACGAACCGACGTCTGGGTTGGACGCTGCGAGTGCCGCGGCCGTGATGCGGCTGCTCAAGGAGGCAAGCGAGCGGCTGGGCACTGCGGTGGTGTGCACTCTTCACCAGCCGTCGCCGTCGGTGTTTGCGCGGCTGGACCTTGCGCTCGTCCTCTCGGGCGGCCGTCCGGCGTACTACGGAGCGGCTTGCGAGCTGTCTTCCTTCTTGTCGTCGGTGGGTCGTCCGGTGCCGCAGCATACGAACGTGGCCGATTTCATGCTCGATGCGGTCAACGCCGACTTTGCTAGCCGCGAAGAGGTCGACGCGCTACTAGCTGCGTGGGACTCTCTCTGCCTCGGCCTTCCGAGCAGTGGCGCGAGCACAAGCAGCTTCGAAGTTGCTGAGATAGCGCGAGAGAGCTCGTTGCAGTCCCATCTGCAAACGATCAACACCCTTCCGGCATCTGCAAACGATGATGGCCGTCTGCAAACGATGAACACCCATCAGGGCGCGCAAGGTGTGGGCGCGGGGCGCGCGGTGCTGGTCTTGCTGCGCCGGCACAGCCTGCTAGTGTTCCGCGATCCGACTCTCTACCTCGCTCGCATAATCAGCTTTATCATCGTCGGCAGCTTCTTCGCCGGGCTGTACGTCGACTCGCGGTCGCGTGTGCAGGAGCAGCTCTTCAACCGCGAGTTCCTCCAGTGGTGGATCTCCAACTTGGCGCCCGCTTTTGGCGTCCTACCTCTGCTCGGTGCGGCCATGGATGCGCCAACGGTGCGAAGGGAGCTCCGGTCGGCCATGTACGACCCTAGCACCTACGCCCTAGTGCGTATGCTTATTCAGTTGCCCATGATGTTTGTGCTCGCGGTGGCGTCGCTCACGCCGGTGTTTGCGATCGGCGGGTGGCACTGGTCGGCCTTTCCCTTGCACACGGTTGTGACCGCTGCGACGCTGTGGGCCTTCGAGTCCCTCTCACAGGCATGCTCGCTCCTTGCGCACCCTGTCATCGGGCTACTGGCGTTTGTGAACATCTGGTTCGCCTCGCTACTGATGAACGGCTTCCTACTGCCCGCCGCCAACATCATCTGGCCGTTCCGCATCTTGACTTACGTGCTGCCCCTCCGGTGGTCCGTGCGCGCGAATGCGTATACCCTATTCCACGACACGCCCCTGTACGACGGCGCGGCAAGTTGCAAGACGACGGGCTTGTCGTGGAGTGACGTGGCGACTTGCCCGGACAGCGGTTTTGTCTGTGAGCCAACGGTAGCCCGGCAGCTCTGCTGGGGGCAGACCGGCGCCCAGATCTTGGAATCGCTTGCCGCCACCTACGATGTCTACGGCACGAATGACGTCCTCGCTCTAGCCCTTGGGGTCATCTGTGCCAACGCTACGCTGCTCCAGCTACTCCACCTCCACAAGCTGCGCGCCTCGGTGAGGGCAGGGGCGACCGAGCTGCCAAAGGCTCAAGTGAGCGGGTCGGCCTCAGACCCACTCGACGCACTCGCAGGGAAGAGAATGGTTCCCCCACCAACCGTTCGGTCACTCAGCGCTCGCTCACTGGGCGGCCGCAGCAGCTCGGCTAGGAGCCTCCTTGACGGATAGATAGATATGATACATGACATACGCGCGCGCGCGCGCACACATGCGCCAACGGGGTATATGTCCGCATGGACTTCTTTGCTCTGCTGCACTATGGCATGAGAGCTGTGAGGCCGCACACGGTAGGTAGGTAGAGGCAGGGCAGGGGCCGGCCGGGTTTCGCTCAGAGAGAGAGGGGGGGGGGAGATCTTTCTTGCTGCGCTCCGACCGATTTTGGCTTCATTTTTAGCTTAGCCTTTCGGTCGCGTCAGGCTGGTGGTTCGTCTTTACAAAGAATTGGCTAGGGCTGCAGAAACAGCGTATCTCGGTCGTTCTTCCACACAGCAATCGCAGAGCAGATACCAGATTGTGGATGAGCTTTGCCTTTCTTTGGCCTGTCCGCTCGGAGTTGCTGTGCCTGTGTGGCGGCGGGGCGGGCGCGAGTGCACGGAGCTAAGTGCCTCACCGCCCTCGCGGGAGACGCCTATAAAGCGACTCCCGTAGTGTACCTGTGTTAGTGCCAGTGCGCTCCAGTCCTAGGGTGCCCACAGGGCCCAAAAAAAGAAAAGAAAAAAGAAATGGGCCACCCCAGATCGCAGCACTTCGTGTTGGAGAGTCGAGATATTGAGAGTGTGACTAGGAGGGTGGGACGCTGGGGATTCTCAAAGGTATACCCTTGGAATGGCCGGATCCAGCCTTAAAAGTACGAGATCGCGCGCGCTTCGCGCGCTGCACCGCCTATTCTCCGGGCTGAGTGACGACGCGTGCCGTGTGCCAGCAGAGTTGGGCGCGCGCGGCGCGACGGCGCCCGCGAGGGAAGGCGCGGGTGCAGCGGCCGCCGGCGGCCGTACCGCCCGCCAGCCGGCGCAGCAGCGGCCAGCGCAGCGGCCGCCGGCGCAGCAGCCAGATCAGCCGGTGCGCGCCTTGCGAGGCGAGTACTGCCGCCCGGCAGCCTTGAGGCGGCCGGGCGGCAGTACTCGTTCGAACTTTGCGAGCCGTGCGCGCGCCGAGGCGCCCGCGGCGCGCGCCCGCCCGGCTGCCAGTAGGAGGCGGCGCAATATGGCCTATAGTACAGCCCTTGAGGAGGAGGAAGAGGCTGGCTGGCAGTGCTGTATGCCGCCGAGGGGCAGTTTTGGGGTGCTGTCACGGGCCCAGGGGGCTGCAGAAGGTGTCCGCAGCCGGGACAACCCGCCCCCCCAGCCGAGGCCGGTCGAAGCCCACTTGGGCACAGCCATGAGGAGTCCTCTTGGTGCTCCTGGCGGCCGTTGGAATGGCGAGCGCGCGCCGATGGGGGGGGGGGGTCTTGCTTGCTCCACACCGAGCGCCATCGGTCCAGACCGGCGTGCCCAATGAGGGGTGGCCTGCACAAGGTCTGAGCCGCGGGCGCTCGGCGCCAAGTGCAGTGTCACGCTCGCGCTCGCGCGTGACAAACCGGGGAACCCTCGTTTCCTATGTACTCGGTCCCCCAACGGAAGAGGCCTCGCTCCTATTGGAACATTCCAACATCAGATTTGCCTCGTGCGTCCCTTTTTGAGTCGGAAAGCTATTTTCTTTTGGGTCCTGTGGGCACCCTACAGTCCCCGTGCCCAGTGCCGTGCCGAGAATTCTTTCAAAAATTCGTGCTTCAAAACCGAGCGTCCATGACGTCCAGCAGGTGCACCTGCCCGCCCCGCCTTGCCTTGGGCGCGTGTTGTCCCTTGCGCGAGCGTGCCCGGCTATTTCGCCCCACATCTCATGCGCTGCAGCGCGCTCGTGCCTGTTCCCGCCGTGCTGCGACCGCCTCGCCAGCGGCTCCTTCCCAGGCTCGGCAACGCGAATCTTGCGCACACCCGGATGCAACAGTGACCGCCATCCATGCCTACTGCGCTCCCGCGACGCCCGAAGCGACCCGCGCCCCGCTCATCCCATCTTATGCTGACGCTCGTCCGCCGTCGCCTGCGCGCACTGCAGATCGAAAACAAGGTGGGACGCGAAGCCGGAGACGCAATGAGCGCGGAGTTGACAAAGGAGAATAGCGCGCCTGCCCGCCTGTCGCAATCGTGGGACTCCAGCGACGATGGTGAAACTCCGGATGGTGAAACTCCGAGGCCAGCCTTCCGCCGAAGTTCGCACACGTGGCCGAAGTTGACGCGAGAAGAGTGGCGTTCAATCGCGAACCTGGAGATTTCATTCACGATGCCCATTGATGAAGAGGGCCACCGCCATCTGCACCTCGAGCTCCGTCAGCGGAGAGCAAAGCGTGTGTTCCTCCGCATCGATGTTCGCGTACGGACGCTCCTGATGTGGCTCTTGCTGCTGTTGAGCATCGGCTCGGCCTCAGCGTTGCGGGTGGGTGCTGCAGTGCGCCCGCCTGCGGGCTTCCACAAACCCCACCAGCCAGCGCGCACGATATCCTCCGCACCTCGCCACGGCGGACCTGCGCCCGCGCGACTCGAGGCGGCGCATCTGACCCACCTACTTGAGGCGCTCTCCACGTCGGGTGAAGCTGCAGCGGCGCTTTTCTCGGAGAAGGTTCCACCCCCCACGCCTTGCACTCCCCCCTCCCCCCCTCCCGCAAGGCACCCCATTCCGACCAGCCACCGCCACTCTGTCAGGTGGAGTATGAGGACATGGTGGTCGGGATGCGCGCGGTCGGCATTCACGACGTCATCGGCGCTCTGCGTCACCACCCTCACATTATCTCCGACTCCCTGCCAAGGAAGCTTCTTGGGGCCGAGCTGCCACGCCTGCGCCTCTCGGTCGAGTCCACCGCCACAGTGGACGGCGAGGCGGTCATCGAGTGGCAGGCCGAGCTCGGCGGAGTGCCCCTTGCCCTCGGCCGCGGCATCACCAAGATGCAGCTCTGCAATGAGACGGGTAAGGTGTGCCGCGTGGTTGACGTCTCGGAGGCGCCATGGCGCGCGGCCGGCAAGGCGGCTGTCGGCGCCCTCCGTTGGGCGCAAGAACGCCTCCACTGGTCGCCGGAGCGCGCAAGGGAACAGGTGGACGAATCCGGGAGTGGATCTGAGGAGGGGTGCGCGGAGGGGTGCATCCGCAGTGCTGACGTGAGCGTGCGCGTCCCGATGCTTCTCGATACGGACGGCGACGGCGTCGCCGACGCGCTGCTGGTGGACAGCGACCAAGACGGAGTGGTGGACCACATCATCCAGCTTTCGACCGACCGCGCAGCAGAGACTGCAGCCGCGGCGGCAGCCGCAGAGGCTGGGCGGAACCGATTGGGCTCTCCGAGCTTGCTTCACTCGCTCGGCGCAGAAGAGGCGCTGCCGACGGAGGCGAGGCCTTCCGCGGTGCTTCCTACGACGGAGGGTGGGGCGAGCGTGCTGGGCTTCTACACAGCGTTCAACAGGCGCAACTTGGATCGGCTCGGCGATTTCATCACCGACGATTGCGTGTACGAGGACTTGCTGCTTGGCCAGGCGACGGTGATATCCGGCAAGGAGAGGCTGCTCGAAGCCCTCAAGTTCCATCCGGCCTTCTGCGCAACGCAGCTGGCCGAGCGGGGCCTCTCGTGGATCGCCGACAGGATGCCCGACATCAGCTTACAGATTGTTGCTCTCACCGAGGGGCACGAGGGCGTCGTGGGCGTCGAGTGGCAGGCGCTCATCGACGGCGAGCCGCTACCCAACGGGCGAGGCATGTCTCAGGTGCAGATTGACTTGTCGAGCGGCAAGATCTCGCGCGTCACCGACATCGCCGAAGCCGCATGGCGGCTTCTCTCCGGCGTTGCGGGCGGTTTCGTCTCCGGAGAGCTCAGCCCACTGAGAGACAGCAGTGCCTCGAGCAGTGCCGTGTCAACTTCCGCGCCCACACCGGCCACGCCAACGCCGCTACCGCACTACGGTCCCGGCACACTCGTCGACACGAACGGCGACGGCGTCGCTGATAGCAGGCTCGTCGACCTTGATGGCGATGGCCGCGTCGACGCGCTTGTTCGCATCGCGGCAGGTGCCGTCGACGAGCGTCAGCGGGCCACGCGGCGCACAGCCGCCACATTCGACACGCTCGAGGCTGGCTGCGCGAGCGGCGCGACTCTCGAGCCTGGCGTTCTTGAGCGGCTCGGCGAGCGGCTCGAGGATGGAGCGGTGGCCGACGGCGAGACACCTGCCGTCGTCATCGTGCCTGGCTTCATGTGTGGGCACCAGCAGTATGCCGACATGGCCGAGTCGATGGCGGCGCGCGGCGTGCCTGTAGCCGTGGTGCCCTTGGAGTGGTACCACTGGCTGCCGACGATGTCGACCAACTCTTACCGCCCCATCCTAGACGCGATCGACCATACGGTGCAGCATGTCGCGCGCGTCTCTGCAGGCGCGGACGATGCGGCGCAGCCCCACGCCACCTCCACCGCCTCTGCAGTGCGCTACCAACGCGCCCAGCCGGTCATGGCAAGTCGCCAGCTACGCCCGCTGGATGTGCCGCCGCTTCCGACATCGCTCCTGGACATGCTGCTCGGCAAGGGCGGTGCCTCCTCTGCTGCAGCGGCCGCCTCGAACGCCCGCGACCAGCCGCCCGCCGAGGAAATGGCGAGCAAGATTGCTCTTGTGGCTCACTCCGCGGGTGGTTGGCTCTCACGGCTCTACCTGTCACAGAAGGCACACTATGGTCGCACGTGGGACGGGGCCAAGCTCGTCAATCGGCTGGTGACCCTCGGCTCACCGCACGTGGCGAGGCTTGGGCCGATGGCGCCGCACGTCGCGCGTGCCAACGACGACGGCGGTGCGTTGCCGGTCGGTGTCCGCTGCCTCACCGTCGCTTCGAAGGGCATCCGTGGAAAGGTGTCGGCAATGGCACGCGCCTCGTATCACATCTGCGCAGGTCCCTGGGCGAATGTCGCCGAGCTCGACGGCGATGGCATCACGACGGCGGATGCGGCGCTAAGCGTGGGCGGTGCAGATAAGCTCGTGCTCGAGGGCGTGAACCACATGCCTCGCAGCCTCATCGGCCACCTCGTCACTCCCGAGGGCTCCAAGGAGAACCCTTGGTATGGGAGCGACAGCACGCTCGATGAGTGGTTGCCATGGCTCCGAAGAGGCGCGATGTGAGGCGATCTCTGTGTCCTTTGTTTGTTTGCGCTAGTGTAGAAAACCAACTGCACACAAACACAACAGCGAGGTTTTGTCCTCTTTGTACTATTTGTAGATTGTACTTGTGAGCGCTGCCTGAGCCCCTCGAACTCAACGTCGACACTTCCGAGATGTCCGAATTCTCCACGTCTCCGAACAGGGTGCACCCGAACGCGCGGGGCCGAAGGCCGAGCCGAATGGGGCGGCTGGACGCACAGGTGGTCTTCACAGGATCGTCTATCTGCGCTACGGCTGCCAGCCCGCGGATGAGGCTTCGGAGAAGTCGCTCTAAAGGTGCAGCACCTTGGCCATCGCGGTGGTGGCCTCTGCCGGGCAGTACGGGCACTTGAACCGGACGGTGCGGCTTCCGCGCGCGAGCTTCGTCAGCGAGCCGAGCGCGAGCACGTGGCCGCACGGCAGCAGCATGGGCGGGTTTCCCGGCGTGGTCGGCTCCTTGGAGACGGGGCACGCAAAGATGGAGTGGTGCATGCGGTGCGTCGGGGGCAGCTCGAGCTCGACCGGGAGCTCGCCGCCCGACCTGGCAGCTAAGCTAGCTGAGTGTCGGTTGTGAGTCTGTGTGTCTGTGTGTCCCTCCAGCGTGCCGTCCTCTCCGGTCCCGCGTCCCCACCCGCACCGCGCATGTGTCCGGTCCGAGCCGTTGTCTGCTCTTCTCTTCGCCTCAGTATCTATCTATCTGCCCGACCGCCACACGTCGAGAAACTTGGGGCCGAGGAGGGAGGAGAGCTTGACGAGCCGAGGCAGCACCGCCTCCCCCGCCGCCACGCAGGAGCTGAGGGCAGACCCGGGAGCTGCCGGCAGGCCTGGACAAAAGAAAAGGCCCTCGCCCGCCCGAGAGTTCGTTTTCAGGCGTCTCCGGCGGCTCGTCGAGCAAACCGAGCGCCGCGAGCGCCTCGCACGTGAGCACCTCACAGGCCTCCTCCGCCAGGCTGGGCTCGAGCAGCCACTCGTACGGCGAGCCGCGCAGCGCCGGCGCGAATGCGAGCGATCCCATCAGAGACCGCACAGCTGCGATCCCGTGCGCGCACTCGCCCGCCGCCGCACCGCGCAGCACCGTCGCCGACAGCTCGAGCTTGCCCCAGGGGGAGCGGCAGCCCTCACCGAGCGCGAGCGGGAGCAACCGCTCCCGAGCGAGCGCGAGGGCGGCCAGCGTCTCGCCTTTCTCGAGATGTGACACAAAGGCGAGTCGCGCGAGAAAGAACGGCAGCCGCGACCCGAGAGCCTCGAGCCGCTCTCGGTGGTCCGCCGCCCATGCGAGCGCCGGCGAGAGATCGCGAGCGCGCAAGGCGGAGAGGGCGGCGTGCAGCGCCTCGAGCGGCGCACGCAGCTGCAGCGTCGGCGCCGCGATCGCGTCGGCGGCTTCCTGCTCGAGAGCGAGCGCCACGTCGAACCGTCCGGCGCAGAGCATGTGCACGTAGAGCACCTGGACCAGCGCGCCGTCGTCGAGCGGCACGTCCGGCAGCGTGGGCTGGGGCATGGCCTTGCACACGGCCTTGCCCAGCTTGCGCACCAACGACTCAAGCTCGTGCGCCCTCGAGCTCTCTCCTTGCGCCACGCCAACCGCCTCGAGCTTGCTGCCGAGTGAGGCGAGCGCCGCAGCGCGAGAGACGTCGTCAGCGCCCGAGTCTTCCCAGGAGTCGAGGATCTGGAGCATCTCGTCCAGGCGCTGGGGAACGGTGTCGACCCGCTGCTTCTTGGCAACCTTGTCGAGCAGGCTGCTGATCAGGTCGATCTCCGACATACGGCCGTAGCGTGGCGGACGGCGGGAGCCTGCGAGCCCATGGGACGCAGTCGTGTGAGCGGGAGAGGGCTGGCCGGGATGGTGGGGGGTGGAATGGTCGGGGTAGCAGTGGATGGCCCAGGGTTCCGGCTCCTAGCCAGATAGGGGGTCTGTCGGGACCCGTTGGACCCTATGCGATAGGTAGGTAGGTCCGGTTTTGACCGCCCCAGAGGGCCCCGCAATAGGTAGGTAGGTGGCGGCGACCGAGCTTGTAGGCGGGAGGGTCCGTGCCCTCGACTCTGTCGAGGGAACAAGAGAGTGCCGGCGTTTTGGAGCCGTCCAACGCCTCGAGAGCCCAGTAGGCCATGCTCTGGCGGGCTCGCGAGCGGCGCCGCACCGCGGTACAAGCCGGCGCGGCGGGCGCTGGGAGCCTATTCACAGAGGGCCAAACGGGCATTTTTTCGCTTCGTTGCGCGGCCTGGGAATAGGTAGGTAGGTGGGGCACGGAGCCTGGCGGTCGGCGCCCGCAATAGGTAGGTAGGTAGGGCGTTTTGGCGCGACTCAGTCCCAACAGACCCCCTATCTGGCTAGGAGAGAGGGAATTCTGAATC